TTTTTGCAGTACTGTGGATAGAACTTGTGACCTTGTGTTTACCAGGCAGTCACTTACATTGCTCTCCTTGGCCACTTTTTTTTTTTTTCTCAGATTATATTTGTTGTTTAAGTTACGAAATCTTCTTATAATTTACTCTAGTTTAATTAAAGAAATACTAATTAATGTATGACATATGCCTAACAGTAATTTCCTTTTTAAAAATTTTTTCCTTTAAGTGGATCTTTATCTCAGTAGTGGTACTTTATTACATTAAGTTTGACAGACTTTAAGAACACACTAGCAGAATAGCTTAAGATGACTTGTGTGAAAAACTAGTTTTTCTAACTTAATACTAGAAAAAGGAAAAAGGGGAACAATCTGTAGGATTTCATAAAAACAGTTTGATTCGTGTGATCACCTTTTTTTTATTGTGGCTGGTAGTGGCGATCGAACTGAGGACCTTGCGCTTGTCAGGCAGGTGCTTGTGCCTCTAAGCTATCTCCCCTTCCTTGTGTAGATCACCTTTGCATGTCATAGCATGTGTTATGAGATTGACAGCAGAGATATTAGCTATTTGCATAGAACTGTTTTATGGATGAGATTGTTGCTATCTCGCCTTAGTGGTTTGAGTTTCAGAGTTAAGTTGATAATTAGAAGTACTTAACGTGCCTGATCTTCCATATCCTATTTATTTCTTCCATTATTGGTACTCCCTGAATGTGCCTCATTCTCAGCACCTGAGGAATTAGCTGTGAGCATGTCAAAGCTTTTGAAAATATGCTCAGTAATTTAAATTCCTATGTGTTTTACTGTTGGTGAGTAAAGAAAAGGTTTTTGGTAGACTCCTCTAAGCCTATAATAATGAAAACAATTGGAGTTGCCTTAGAACTACAGTATGTTATTAGTCCTTAACAACTAATTATACGCTTAAAGTAATTTCATGTACTTGTACATAGCATTAGTTTGTCATAGAAAGTATCTTTCTAGTGTTCTCATGTTTCAGAATATGTACAGTTTGGCACTACACATCTGGGTTTGAATGTTAAGTTATAGAAGAGAGAATAGATAGAAGCTACCTGCGCAGCCAGCCCTTGGAGACTATAGGGGATTGCTTCTGGGATATACCACTTGGCATCCCATCACTTGAGTATGTAGTCATTTCAGATGCCCAGTTTTGTATTGTGTCTACAGTGAAAAGAAAAACCACAAACTGGGAAAAAAAAAAACTAGCCAACTGTCCCATAGACCTAGACATACAAAGAATTTTTAAAAATCAGACCCTCGGGGGCCAGGATATAGCCCAGTGGCGTAAGTGCCTGCTTGACAAGCCCAAGGTCCTGAGGGATCCCAGATACCTCCCCCCGAAAAAAAAGGTCAGACCCCCTCCTCCAAAATTCAGATACCCAATCCCAAAATTGCTCTTTTTTTAAATTAGTACTCAACATGTTGCATATCCTACATGTATTTTCAGAAACTAAATTTGTACCAGGAAGCTTCTGTTAGTTACTAAATCACTGTATAGTTGGATCTGTGGGCACATGCCTGTAATTGTAGCTCTTAGGAAGTTGAAGTAGGATTGCAGCAAACTTGAGGTCAACCTGGATTATACCACAAGCAAGGCTTTGTCTTTAAAAATAAAAGGCAACCATAATTAAAAAAAAAAAAAATCCCATATTGGGCTGGGGAGATAGTTCAGTGGCTTAAGTGCCTGCCAGGAAGCACAAGGTGCAAGTTCAATCCCTAGTACCGAAAAAAACAAAACATGTCATAGGGAACACATTTGATTATCTTTATTTATTTATTTATTTTTTTAAAGAAATGACACCCAGGTTTGGTTTTTTTTTTTAAATTTGTGTGTGTGTGTGTGTGTGTGTGTGTGTGTGTGTGTGTGGCTAGCTCAGCCCACCAGGGGGCGGGGCTGGCTGGCATGTGGTGCTGGGGGATTGAACCGTGGTCCCTGTGCTTTGCTAAGCTTGTTCTAAGTAGATGCTTTAAACCATTGAGCTATCTCACCAGCCCACATTTGATTATCTTTAGGTCTTGTCATTTTACATGGTCTCTACAGATGCTTTTGACTTCTAACGTTTTATGAAGTTACCAGTTTCACATGATATTAAAATCAATCCTGTGCAGTTGATGACTATTTAACATTGTTTCTGAAGTCCAGACAAAGGCAAGTTGAAGTTAAGAGTTTGAGTCTAAACCACATCTTGTGGTGGGTCCTTTCAGCACTTTGTTACAGTGCTCACTCTGGGTCTTGCACTTGCCAGGCAGGCGCTTATGTTGCTGAGCTATCTCCCTGGCCCACTAATTGATTCCTAACGAATTCCTCTGCTTTGTGACTTTTATTCTAATCATGACATTTTATGACAAAATAATAAAATATGTAGGTTTCATTGTACTGATAAAGGTTTGAAGTATGGCTATGGGAATAGAGAAACTATTCTCATAAGTATTGGGGGTAAAAAAGGAAAATATTTTTAATTTTATTCTCTTAATGCAGAAGAGGAACTTGTCTAGACTTACTAATTTTGACAAGTCATGCAGAGTTGCACTTATTAGTTTTGCTTTGACAATTGAACAGATGTAACCCAAATTGTAAGATTTTAGTAGGTATGAGGGATCCTGGCTGTAATTCCAGCTACAGGAGGCTTGAGGCAGGAGGACCAAAGCCAGCCTGGACCACTTTGAAAGACCCTTCTTCAGAAATAAGGTGCAAGGGCCTGAGTTCAATCCCTGGGTTCCACCAAAAAAAAAAAAAAAAAAAAAAAAAAATCAGGGGCCGGGGAGATGGCTCAGTGGAATAAGCGCTTGCCTGAAAGACCCTGCTTCAGAATAAAAATGGATGTTAACTGGAACACATACCTGCAGTCCCAGCTACTTGGGAGACTGAGGCTGGAGGATCACAGATTTGAGAATTTGAGGCCAGTCTGGGTAACTTTGAAAAACTGTCTGAAAATGAAAGGAACAGGCATGTAGCTCAATGGTGCTGTGGTGGCCTACTGTTTGGGCTCAGTTCTCAGTACTATTAAAAGGGGGAAAAAAAAACCCAAAACCTGGTGTAACGGTACACTTCTGCAATCTCAGAACTTGGGAGACCAACACAAGAGAATCACTGTGTGTTTCAGGCCATCCTGGGCTACCTGTAGGACCCCTGTCTCAAAAAGCCAAGATGAGGCTGGCAATACAGCTCGGCAGCACAGTGCCTGTCTGGCAACTACAAGTTCCTAAATTTGATTTCGAGTACCAATAAAAGCCAACGTGGCAAAGGTTCAGATTTTATTGTTTTCAAAGAAGACTCTCGATCTTTTTTCTTTCTTCCAGTATTCATGTGATTGAACGGCGTGCACTTCCTGAGTTTTTCAATGGAAAAAATAAATCCAAGACTCCAGAAATGTAAGTCTCATGCTTTAAATAGCTTTTTGTGTGTGCTCCTGGCAGATATTTGAAAGCACACTTCTGAGTTTTCTGTTGCTCGGTGTCTCAGTTACTTTTCTCTCATTGCTAGGACAAAATATTCAACACACAAATTAAAGAAGGAAAGGTTTATTTAGCTCACAGTTATTGGAGGTTTCAGTTCATACTTGACTGGCTGCAAGGCAGAGTGGCACATGGCAGAGGGCAGTGGTTCATGGTGGCGGAAAACACCAAAATGGCAAGAGCAGAAGGGAGGAGTAGCAGCGATGGCTACAGAGATCGTATCTCTCTTTCTCTGTTGCATTCAGGCTGTCTGCCCCAGACTGGGTGTAGCATTCACACCATAATCCCAGCACTGGAGCATGAGTTAATCACAAAGTCTAGAGAATCCACCCCAATGACTGCGGGATAGCTAGACACAAACTGTAATACTGGGTTTTGAAAGTTTACAAATATTTCAGTCCATTGAGAACATTGTTCATTATCCTTTTGCACAACTTTTTATTTTTTATTTAATTTTGTGGTACCAGGGATCAAATGCAGGACCTTGGGCTTGCCAGGCATGCACTTAGGCCACTGAGCTATTTCCCCAGCTCTTTTTTTTTTTTCCCGGAACCGGGGATTGAACTCAGGCCCCTGCTTATTCCACTGAGCCATTTCCCTGGTCCTGCTCTTTCTTAATTAATTAATTCATTTTTGAGACAGGGTCTTGCTATGTAGTTCAGGCTTTCACCTCTCTCTGTACCCCCAGCTATTGTCCTACTTGCCACAATCCTCCTACCTCAGTGTCCTGAGTGCTAGAATTACAGCTGTGCACCGCCACATGCAGCTTACATAGCGTTCTTGACCTCAAAGGACATTACGATTTTTTTTTCTTCCTAAACATTGAGGTATATTTGTATCCATATGCTTACAGTTAAAGACAAAATTAAGCTGGCCAGATAGCTCAGCAAACTAAAGCAACTGCTTAGGCAGAGTGCAATGGCCAGTGTTTGATCGCTGGTGTGCCATGCTGACCCTGCCCCATCACTGAGGCAGTGATTGACACATGGGCATGCTGCCATGTGCCTGTAATCCTCGTTCTTTGGAGGCTAAAAACAGGAGAATCACTGAGTCTGATCTATGTAGTGAGACCCTGTAGACCCTGTCCAAAATCATAAAGTTAAAAAAGACAAGTAACAGGGTATTTCTCCCATTAACTGCTCATGTGTATTCATATAAATGCATATATGTACTTGTGCACAGTAATTCAGGAAAAAATGCTCTTGGCTTTTATCTCTTTGATGCATGATTACCAGTAAAAGCATGCTAGCTGTGAGGACACAGCTGCAGCTGAACAAAGCTTAATTACATAAGGATGGTTGTACTTTTGCATTAGAAATAGACAAAATTAGTGGAAGGAGGATTTTTGCTACTAGATAGTTCCACCTTCATTCATTGGCCTACACTTCAGGAAGTGTATATCATCACGTGTCAAACTGTAAATACCATTTAATGTGTTTTCATTGTGGTACCAAGTGGGCATCTAGTTCCTCCATTCGACTGGACAAATAGATGTCTTATGCTTAAATTGTTAAGGAAGGACTAACTTGTAATTTTCCACATAAAATACATAACAGATAATTTCTTTTTTATGTATTGAATACAGGATCTCACTACACAGATTGGACTTGTAATGATTCTTCCTGTTTTTCAGCCTCCAAAGTGCTGAGATTACAGGCATGTGCCACTATGCCTAGTCTCAGTTGCCGGTTCAGTGCGCCCTGGGGGTGGGGCCAGCACAGCAGGCCAGGGACCAAACCCTCAGCGGCCCCTCTGTCTGCCAAACCAGGCAGTTTAATCTGCTGAGCTATCTGGCCAGCTCATAACATACAGATAATTTAATAAATATTTACTGCTGTTGTTTTATCCATGATTGTTTCAAATTCTAGTTTCTACTGTCAGAAATCATTGGTGTTCATTTTAAGAGCTACCTAAAACCAGAATCATAGGTTTGGCATAAGAAACATTAATATTTTTTTTTACCTACTTAAATGTAGTGTGAAAAAATAAAAAAAAAATGTGGTGTGTTCTTCCAGTTAATCTGTTGTCACATTTGTAAATATTTAAGGTTTTGTAGTCTTTTCTTCCAAGGTGTCTATTTACATTGCATTCCTTTTCACTTTGTTAATTCACCTTCCAGTCCTTGTGTATCCACCTGGCTTTCTCAGGAGCCTTTCTGAGCAGAGTGTGCTTTCTGCTCTTTGGAACTTACCTTGGGCGACCAGGTGTTTTTACTCCTGTTCCAAGCACTCATGCTAGGTCTCCAGTCATAGGGTTTTAGTGTTTTGTGACAGGAATGCTTAGCTTAGTTGTGGGAGTGTGTTCTGACAGGCTCTCAATTTTTTTTTCCTTTTTTTAAAAAGTTCTTGTCTTCTGTCTGACTTTGAGCTCTTAGATTCAGTTTGTTGCCTTACTAGGTCTCTTGCAAAGAATTGTCACAGAAAGATTTCTGTAGACAGAGCCCAGTGTGCATGTGGCCCCAAGGAGACTATCAAGGGAGGGAGGCTGAAAGCACAGATTACAGAACCTGCCTGTGTTTGGCTCTGCTTCACTTTTCTCATCTGTCGCCAGGGTTATAGTCCCTGCTTTATGCACAGATTTGGAGGATAAATTGAATTACTGTGTGCACAGTACTTAAAACAGTGCTTGGCTCTCAGGAAAGGGAAGGTAAATAGTGAGTCCTCTTGGTAAGCTGTGGATGCTGCAGCGAGTCCACATTTGCCCATTCACCTCTGTGACCAGGTTCTTGTCACTTTCCGTTAGCATCATGTTACTTTATTATTATATATTAATAAAGTTACTTTGTACATTAGCTAACTTACAATTATTCAACACAAAATTGTAACCAAGAGGGTAAGGCATATCTTTAAAAATTAGGATTTTTAAAGATAAAAAGCTAGCTGGATATAGAGGTATCACATAATCCCAGCCTTTGAGAGGCTGAGGAAGGATTGTTACCAGTTTGAGGCCAGACTGGGCTACATAGTGAGTTCAAGACTAGCCTAAACTAAATAGTGAGACCCTGTCTCAAAAACAAACAGGGGCTGGTGAGATGGCTCAGTGGTCTAAAGCACCTACTTAGAACAAGCTTAGCAAAGCACAGGGACCAAGGTTCAATCCCCCAGCACCACATGCCAGCCAGCCCTGCCCCCTGGTGGGCTGAGCTGGCCACACACACACACACACACACACACACACACACACACACACATAAATAAAATTAAAAAAAAAAAACCCTCGCCCCAGATGGTCAGAATGGACCAAAAAAAAAACCTTCTGTCAGAAAACATCATTTCCGCTTCTCTGCTGCACCCCATCCCCCAGCGGCCAGGCATTCCAGCCCACACCAGCATCTGTGCCCCCTCCCTTGGGCCCCGCCATGGGCCTCACATTGTCTGCACTGTTTTTGCGGATCTTCGGGAAGAAGCGGATGCAGATCCTCATGGTTGGCTTGGATGCTGCTGGCAAGACTACGATCCTCTACAAACTGAAGTTGGGGAAGATTGTCACCACCAGCCCCACCATAGGCTTCCTTGTGGAAACAGTGGAATATAAGAACATCTGTTTCACAGTATGGGATGTGGGAAGTCAAAACAAGATTCAGCCTCTTTGACAGCACTACTTCCAGAACACAGGGCCTCATCTTTGTGGTGGATAGTAATGACGGTGAGCGGGTTCAGGAATTTGCTGATGAACTCCAGAAGATGTTCCAGGAGGATAAGCTGCGGGATGCCATGCTGCTAGTATTTGCAAACAAGCAAGACATGCCCAACGCCATGCCCGTGAGTGAGCTGACCGACAAGCTGGGGCTACAGCACTTGCGCAGCCGCACGTGGTACGTCCAGGCCACCTGTGCACCTCAAGGCACAGGCCTGTATGGTGGACTAGACTGGCTGTCCCATAAGCTGTCAAAGCGCTAGCCAACCAAGGGCAGGCCCCTGCTGCCCACAAGCTCCTGCGTGCATCCTGAGGATGACAAGACTCCCGGGCTCCTCAGGCAGTGCCCTTGCCTCCTCCACTCTTCCTCCCCACAGACAGGCCTCTGCTCCTGCTCCTGCTCCTGCCTGCATGTTCTCTCTGTTGTTGGAGCCCAGAGCCCTGCTCTCTGGGCATAGAGGAGTCTACCCTCCTGCCTGCTGGGACCTGTGGAAAGGCTTCCTGGCCAAGCCCCCTTTTCCAGAAGAGGAGCAGGGATCTGGGTTTACTTTCGTTCTTTTCTGTTTTAGCTGTACCTTTGGGACCAGGTTTTTGGGGTGGGGGGAAGTGAGGGCTGTGGGTGGTGCTATGATGTGAAACTGGATATTAAATAACAAATTTGCTGTGGTTTGTAAAAAAAAAAAAAAGAAAAGTAAAGAAAGAAAAAGAAAACATCATTTCCATCTAAAAGAAATATGCATCCCCCCCCAAAAAAAAAAAAAGAAATATGCATCCCTGGTTCCACCAAAAAAAAAAGAAATATGCAGATCTGAGCCTCAGGAACAGTCTGTTATCTTATTGTCTCTCTAAGCCCCCACATACACCTGAAAGGGGGCGAGGATTTGAGATGGGGCCCACCTTGTCTCCTTTGGAGCTTGTTTAAACTTTGTCCTTTCATCAAAAGTGCTTCCCTCCTTACCTTAGCCACAATGTTACTGTATTTGGTTGTGCTGGGCTCTGAACTTTTCTTGTGTATGGTTGTTGAAGCTCTGAATTGTGATTCTGTGTTATTGTTGCTGTAAGGATGCATGTGTCCCTTACGAGTTTTGCTTTTGCTTTTGCTTTTGAGATACCTGGCATATCGAAACTTTATGATTGACACATATCGTCTGAATCCACAAGAATATTTGACCAGCACTGCCTGTCGGAGGAACTTGACTGGAGATGTGTGTGCTGTGATGAGGTAGTGTCTCTCCTGCCCTCAGACCGTTTACTACTCACGCTTCCTTGTGCATTACTATGTAATGTTGAACTCATTAAACTGGATGTGTTCTTGCTTGCTTAGTGAGACATAAGTCTTAGTATGTTTTATGGTGCAGGGTTTTTTGTTTTGCTTTATTGTATTTTATTTTGTTTCATTTTTTTGGTACCAGGAAACAAACTCAGGACCTTGTACTTGTTGAGCAGGTGCTACTGAGCCCTGTCCCCGGCTGGTTCAATATTTTTAATACCCATTAGTATTTTATTCTAGTTTTCTAAATTTTACAGTTTGCACATTTTATTTTATAGTCAAATTGTAAAACAACCAGAAGTGGGAAGTGGATAGACTATCCTATCTAGAACATTTTTTCTCTTATTTTTGCAATTAAGATACTAGACATTTTATAAGGTTTTGGGGTTCAAGCCTAAAGGTTTCAAACCTAAATGGTTAATTAAAATTATCCTTATCCAATAAACCAAATTTGTCAGGTATTCCGGTGGTTTGCAACCTGAAGATAATAGCTTTACTTGTTTTTCTTTTTTTAAAATAATGTGAACGATTGTGGAGAAGAAATTGAGTCTCCAGATTTTAATTTTCAAAGATTTGTTTTTTAGAGTTCATGCCTTTCTAGAACAGTGGGGACTCGTTAATTACCAAGTTGATCCAGAAAGTCGGCCCATGGCAATGGGACCCCCTCCAACTCCTCATTTCAATGTATTAGCTGACACCCCCTCCGGGCTTGTGCCTCTGCATCTTCGATCTCCTCAGGTACATAATGCTGACTTCCAGTCTGATGGTAACAATCACTTTAAAGCCTTTTTTTGGAGAAGTTATCACTTTTACACTGTAGGGATGTTTGTGCTACTTTTTTAACTGACACCGTGTGTGTGTGTGTGTGTGTGTGTGTGTGTGTGTGTGTGTGTGTGTGGGGTTTTGAGTCCAGACTGGGAGTGCAGTTCTGTGGTAGAGAGCTTATCTTATATGCATGAGACTATGGACTACACCCTCTGCACCACACAATAAATGAGTGAGTAAATGAATGAATCCTTAAAAATACGCAGTTAAAAAAAATGCAGTGTTTGAGGTTAGTTCTTTCATCAGTTTTAAGATTCTATACCATATCCTATCAAATTGTAGATTTGCATTCAGTCTTAAGCTCTTTATTCTTCTCCCATAAAGACCAGTGATGAAGAAGAAACACAAAATCATTCACTTGATTCATCATATGTCCTAGAAATGAGAATTTAAAAATCTTCATGACTTGACCAAAGATTTGGACATACATATCAAGACCCATGTTGTTTGTTTGTGATAGGATCTCGGTGTATATTCCAGTTAGGCTTTGAACTTGTGATCTTGCCTCAGCCTTCCAAGTGCTGGAATTAAAGCGGTGCAACACTCCTCCCAGCTTCATATACATGTTAAAGATATAATTGTGCCAGATAAATTATAAGCAACATGAAATTGGGATAACATGAACCTGTGCTATTAATTTTCCTTCATTGTGTATTAGATCATAGTGAAGAAAAATTTGTTGTCTTCGATTTAAAGAGGCACGAAAAATGTTTTTTGTAGTCTGAATTTTTCTTGGTAGTACAGTGTAGTATATTTAGTAGTGGTAGTAGTGTTATTATTATTATTGTTAGGAAATCTAGCAGGACTAATTTTTTTAAGCAGAACTAGTCTAAGTATCAATATTACATAATTTTTCAAAAACATTTATTCACATAGCTTTGAGATTGATGGAGTCATTCTATTTTATCTGATTTATACATAGATTCCTGCTGCCCAACAAATGTTAAATTTTCCAGAAAAGAACAAGGAAAAGCCAATTGATTTGCAGAATTTTGGTCTTCGCACTGACATTTACTCAAAGAAAACATTAGCAAAGGTAAGGATTTTTTTTTTCCAAAGCACTTGGACTAATACGTGCATGTTTTCTTCGTCTTTTTTTTTTTTTTTTTTTAATGCAGGATCTTTCTATGAAGTTCCAGCTGGCCTTAAATTCAATGTATAGCCCAAACTAGCCTCAAACTCATGGTGATCATCCTGCCCTAGCCTCCCGACTGCTGGGATTACAGGCTAGCACTACTGTGCCAGGCATTTGTTTTACTTCCAAAATGAATAATTTTCCACAAGAAATAAGAGGTCATTCCTGGTGGTGGGAAGAAGTAAGCTTGCCTGTTAAAACTGATAACATTTTGTTTTTTGGTTTGGGGGTTTTTCTTGAGCCAGGGTCTTGCTATGTAGCTTGATTTTGATGTATGTTTGCTTGCTTGTTAAGAGAAGCTGGCCTTGAACTCATAGTGATTCTCCTGCCTCAGTCTCCCAAGGGCTAGGTTTGCAGGTGTGTGCCACAACACCCTCCCTTACCTGATAGCGGTGTACAGTAGCCTCGGCCAACTAGTGGGTTTTTTATTTTTTTATTTTTTAAAATTTTTTTTCCAACTAGTGGTTTTAAGGCTAGCCTGAACTGCATAACCAGACTCTGTGTCAAAAAGAAAAAAAAAGGGGGGGGGGGAAGCAGGAAGAGAGGATGAAAAAAATGATGAAATTGTATTATGGAATAAGGATTTTTTTTTTTTGGTTCCGCGAATGCCTTCAGGGCACTTTTGGCCAGCGGGAGAGGTGTGAGGTTCGAACTCCAGCAACCTGAGGCTGATAGCTTTGTGGAAGCAGCCACTTAAAGGCCTGAGCTAGGGCCAGGCCCCCTGAAATTGTATTATGTACATGTACAAACTCCACAGAAGAATGAGCATATACTGTGCAAATACACTTTTAAAAATATTTTACATGAAATATGGACTTGTTGGAATTGGAATTAAGAACCTGTCAGAATCTTATATATGTAGAACATCTTGTGTTACCCTGGGGGGGAAGTTCTGTTTTCAAAATATACTAAATATTTGTATTATATTTATAATATTACACCTGATTTATGGTATGAATTAAAATACTGTTCCTGGGGCCAGGGAGATGGCTCAGTGGAATAAGCACTTCCCTGGCAAGTGCAAGGACCTGAGTTCAATCCCCAGTTCTGCCAGAAAATAAATAAATAAAATACTGTTCCTTAGTAGTTTTAAAAGGTATTTATGAGTATTTATGAATAATAGAAATAGCAAAGCCAAATAAAACCTGAAGTAGTTGGTTGACAGTAAGAAATCTTTAAATGCCCAGTGACATTCTTAGGTGTTTTATTTATTGGGGACTTGTGTGGTCGCTCTATGGTTTGCATAAAACAGGCCCCTGAGCTTAAGTAATAACCCTGCTATGTTCCATCAGTATTCATCCTTGAGGGACAAATAATTTCTCACTTTGTTTCCTTAGAGTAAAGGTGCTAGTGCTGGAAGAGAGTGGACAGAACAGGAGACTCTTCTCCTTCTGGAGGTAAGCAGAGCCTTTATCTATATAGATGTGTTTTAAGATTCTTGAACTAGAAAAAAAAAAAAAAGATTCTTGGATTAGCACTTTGAATATATGTACCTATGCTGATCAGTTTAGGAAATGTGAGTTGAGATGGAAGTTGAAATGTTTCTGTACTTATAGATGACCCCCTGCTTTGACAGCATATCACAATTGCACTTTTGTGTACTACCCATTTCACAAAACTAAACATTAGGACCGGGGAGATGGCTCAGTAGAATAAGCGCTTGCCTGGCAAGCACAGGGTCCTGAGTTCAATCCCTGGTTCCACCCAAAAAAAAAAAAAAAAAAACCTAAATATTAAAAACATAGATTTTGATATTTCAGTGTTGTTAATTTTTGGAGACAGAGTTTCGCCATGTAATTCAAGTGGCCTTGAAATCATTCTGTAGCCAAATGTGGAACTCACAACATTTCTCCTGCCTCAGCCCTTCAAGTGCTGGGGTTACAGGCATGTGCTACCATGCCCAGCTCACTTTGGTTAATTAAAATGACTTTCATAATTTAACAAGGAAGTGTTTAAGTGATCTGGCTTCTTTTGTAGTTGCAGAGGTGTGGCAGTGAGTTTGGTCTTGACTTACATTGTCTGGATTTGCAGTAAAATGCCACTACTGCTTGTATACCCCAAGAACTGTGCCAACATAATGACAAAAGCGGTGACATACCAGCTGCTATGAGAGTTATCTGACCTCACATCCTTCCTGAAAGGAGTCTGGTTTATCTAATGGTTCCTGACCACATCTGAGAACTTCGGGCCTGGTCATGTCTTTTTTTTTTTTTTTAAATTTATTTATTTTGTGTGTGTGTGTGGCCAGCTCAGCCCACCAGGGGGCGGGGCTGGCTGGCATGTGGTGCTGGGGATTTGAACCACGGTGGCTGTGCTTTTGCTTAGCTTAGCTTGTTCTAAGTAGGTGCTTTAGACCACTGAGCCATCTCACCAGCCCCTGGTCATGTCTTGATATCTTTCTTTTCATTTTTTTGTATGTACTTATTTGTTATGTTATGTTAATTTTAATTAACAATGTTAATTAACATAATGGTATGTTAATTTTGACATCTTAGTTTCTTGGTAGTGCCTTGTTTGGATTCCTCAGATTGTTCCAGCTTCAGAATTCCATTAAGAGCTTTAATGTCAAAGTAATATATTTTCTTTTTTTTGTGTCCTCTTTCCATTTTTGTTTATTTTTTTTCCTCATGTACAATCTGTGATTTGTCTCCTGCCCCATATGATGAAAATTAAAGAGTTTTTATTAGAAGATTTTTGCTGTTTTATTATTATTTTTTTAATGTATTTTAGGACAGGGAGTACAGGGTCTCACTACACAGATCAGACTTGTGGTGATCCTCCTGGTTTTAGCCTCCCAAGCACTGGGTTTACAGGCCACCATGGGCCCCACCATGCCCTATCTCAGTACCATCTCAGTGCACCCGAGGGGTGGGGCCAGCACGACATGCTGGGCATTGAACACATCCCTACGCTTATCTAAGCAGGCACGCTAGTCTGCTGAGCTATTTAGCCAGCCCTTTTGCTGCTTTATTTTCATCTTTGTGTTGAGTACTGGTATTATGCAGAGAACTTCTTTCCTGTCGCTTGTTTATCTTAGTACTCCGTAGTCTCACATAGGCATGTATGTTAACTTAAAAGAATAATGTTGCCAGTACTTGTGCGTGGATAGTACTCTCTTTTTTTTTTTTTTTTTTTA